CTGTCAAGGTAAATAGAATTTCAACAGTATGTAGCTATAAACAGATGAATACGTGAAGAAAGACCGTGTTTAAGTGCACATGCACTTTGAATACATGTACGAACGTTTGTGCTATTTTTCAATATGACTTTCCCCCCACAGATTAAGTTCACTTCATTTTTATAATAAATTATAGAATCAACTTTGTAGTCCTTATGACAATGATTGAAAAATGATATAACAACTCACGTCATGGCAGCTATTAAATCATATTTCTTTCTTTGCAAGGAGGGTTGACTAGATCTTACATGTATAACTAAATTGAGCAAGTCTCGGATTATGATCCCTACTTTTTCTATTATGCAGAGAGATTTTGTGAAATGAAAATGTCAATATTATGTACTAGTGGCTACATTGTACAAAAATCACATAACAAATAGACAACAAGAGTCGATTTCCGCAAGACTGCATGGGACACGAGAATACATGTATGTGACAAACTTATTTAATAATTTCTAGTTTATAAATGGTTTTGACTAAAAATAATAAACTACCTAATGATATCCTGTGTTACAAATTAATTTAGCGGCATTGTGCTTTAAGAAGATTTTCCTATATCACAAAAGTAAGTAATCAAGCGCAAATTTCAAAAAAAAACTTAAGAATATAAGCAGCCATAAAATAATTCAAAAGAAAATCTGGAAATCTTCAAAATTTGCAGTCGTTTTGACAGTTACCTGAATTTTTGACGCGACCTTGAGTACAGCCCTCTGAGTGAGATAGAAACAGGCATATTATCGCTGAGTGCAGGTCACGGTCATTTCTGCAGTGCATGAGGAGGTATATCTGCACTTAATAATGTGGCAATGTCAGGGAATAATGTTTCGAATGACTGTACCTAAATAATACGAAGTACCCTGTAAACTCTGGAAAGATTTGTAAATTGTTTGCAGTTATTTATTGCATTAGTTACTAAACAGGTAAGAAATGCATTTTGTTAATTTATATTGTAATTTCAATATTACGGGTATTTAGAAATCAGATTCATTTCAAAATTAAAATTTACTCATTGTTCTTTAAAACATTGCGAAATAAAACACACATAGATTTCAAAATCTATTATTTTGAAATTGAACTCTTCGAAATATTTCTAAAAGTAATTTCATAATAACTTTATACGACTTAAACGTAAAATTGCACTTTATGAACATAGTACATGTGAAATCGAACATTTTTCTTCGTTTATACCTAATTGCACGTATACACACTGCTACAAACTGCTCGTTTCTAAAAATAATTTTTTTTTAACATGTATGCCTCTCATGCATTTCATTCCGCACATTCCTAGATCCAGAGAGAGAGAGAGAGAGAGATTGAGATTTGACGTTTCTTCACTTATATAGCTATCTAAACGATATAATTTTTGTCAGGGAAATCATAAAAACAGTAAATGTCTTTAATAACGTCAGAGATCACTCTATAGCAGAGGCACAATTCTTGTTTATATTTACAATTATCTCCTTAAAATTCTAATGTGTACGTTCCTATTTTATTTTTTAATTAAATTTTTGAAAAGCAGACCACGGAACCCGAGATTCTGAGTTCTTGTTTACCGTGACCCAGATTTTTTTTTTATGGTTGTCTATACCGCGGTACATGGCCCGGATCATATCATCAGGAGTCACACACATGTATAATTATGTCTTAAATCAACAAAAGTATTATGAAGAAGAAAAAAGAAATATAGGTATATGTACGTCCCACAAATAAATTTTCTTTAATGTGAATTGTAGCTTTGGTTGCCATGTTAAAAGAATGGAAAAATGTAGAATCTATTAACTGCAACTTAGTCTGTCCAATATTCTTAAATATTAAATTTGATACAAATTTGAAGCAGGTAATGAAATTCTTAAAATTAAAAATCTTTGAAAAAAATATGCAAAAATATTTTAATTTCTTACAAATTATCATACAAGCAAGAATTTTAATCCTTATAGTTCTTTTAAGTTATACCTGAGATAAATTAAGCATGAAAAATTAAAACAATTTTTAGTATATCTCTCTTTGGGGCAATTAATTCTCATTCGACATTCTGCGAGGTTACTTTTGCTCAAAATTAACTTTCATATATATGTACATGTTTACACCTGTTCGATATTTTTTCTTGATTTCCGACTTTCCGTAATGAAAATGATTCCACAAAACTACCACATTATACAAATCTTTAATCATTCAAAAGGAGTTATATAACATTTTTCTTTCATTATTATTTCGTAAAATGTTTATATCAAGTGAAAGAGATCTACACAAATCCCAATTTATGCAAAATGTGTAGTAGTAAATATTTTTTTTTTATTTTGTTTCTTTTTTTAATTCTGGGGAAATGAATTGACATTTTTGATTTATGTATAAAAGAAGAGGTAGGTCGGCGAGATCCAGTTACTGCCCTAGAGGTGTGTTTTCAAGGACGTGCCATCTACTTAAATATCCTCATATCAAGATGGTACTTGTGTGAGTACACGTGTACTGGAATTGGATCAAAAAAGTGCACTCTGAATGGCCTCTTCTTTTAAAGCTTATTATAAAAAGCAATTAATGATTAATATTAATAAACAGGAATGATTTCCGCTTGATTATGAAAAAAAGAATGAAAATGTAAAAATACAGATACAGCCGATCTAGAAGGGTGACAAAACGGACAAAGCCCTATTCTTTACAATGTCTAACACATTTAATCAGCTGGATTTTTACAAAATATGCATCGGGGCTTGCATTCAAAAATACTCAATAACCTTTACTCAATAAAGTTTGAAGTTATTTATTACCACAATTTTCTTTTAAAAAGTGCATTTCAGAAAAGACCCCTTCTTCAAAGTAGACGTTCTAAATAATTATTCTTGTGCAGGTTAAAAATTCAAATTTAGTATTTATTTCAAAAACACCATATTTTCAGAGATGAAAAAAAGGAAAATCTCAATATCTCAAAAGGGTTTTTATTTCAACCTGGTATTTATTCCTTCATAGAGGACACACATTTGCTCTGAGTGACACGCTGCACGATGACTTGTCCTGATCAGAAAACAGGGATTCGTGTAATATTTAATCCCAACAAACGCAATTCACCAACATTATCTAACGGGGGACATCATTTACTGCGTCACCACCCTCTTTAGCGTAGTCAAGCTTCTTTGATTGCTTGCCTGATAGTACATATACATTGATTCACAAAAAGAGGCCCATGGTCCACAATGCTCACTTCTGATTTGCAATTATGGCGGCTTTCTGTCCAATTTTACAAATTTTAGTCTCATACTTGCACAGTTTCTCTCTTTTTGCGTAAAACTTTTTACTCTCTGATGTGGCTCTATCCTTACCCGGAGGAATGTGAGTTAAACAAATCAGAACCTACACTATATTAAGATGCTTGCATTTGAAAAGGAGTATACTTGTGACCCCGGTGTTCTTGAGAGAAAAAGTTAAGATTTTCCCTAAAAACGTGGCCACTTATTGTGTCGTTAGCCTAGCCACAGCACGGGAGCCATGATCTGAACAAACTGAAATCTAAACGATATTCCTATGCTTGCATAATATTATTGGTAATACATGTAGGACTAGCTGCGGTCCTGCTGTGATTGAGTAGATTACAATTATTACTTTCTTGGTCCTTTTTTCTCCATCTTAGACACTAAAGGCTATAATTGGAACAAAATTGAATTTACACCTCATGAGAATATTTAGTTATTCCTGTGACTAACTTCGGCACTGCCCTTGAAAAGATCTTTGTAAAAAAAAAAAACACTCCCTAGATAGCCTACACGCGTTCCTATGAAAATCTGTAATCCCCTCCTGTGGCCTACTCCTAACCCAAGCTGCCAAGATTCGAACAACTTTGAATAAACACTTCATGGGAATACTTGCAATTAATATGCCCCTGTCATGTGTTCTTGAAAGATTTTTCCTATAAACATCTATGTAAAATTTTCTGTTTTGCACCATCCTACCACCAAGCTTTGATTATACTTGAATCTGCACTAGAAAATAAGCTTTCAAATTATAAGTTTTGTCTTGTCAGTGCTAGTGGTCCTAGATAATAGTTTTAAGTGAACAAAACTTATTTTAATTTCTTAATTGTTTCCAAGCTGTTTGAAAAAAAAATGAACTCGCTTTGCCGAAGAATGCATTATAGCGAGTTGGTTGAAATCGGCTCAGTAATTCTAGGAAACAGGTCAAAAAAGTAAAGTAAACAATGGGCGGACGGACGAAGGACGACATTTGTTTAAAAACAAACTTTCTTGAGCTTTCAGCTCAGGTGAGCTAAAATCTTGTTAAAACCATGCACATCTTTGCACTGTGAATCTGGAAACCGTTAATAATTTCTCCGAAATGTAAACAACATTCCAACTTTGAAAGAAAAAACAAGTGTATCAACATTCTGAACGAATATATAAATTAGAAAAAAAAAAAACCAATCTCAAACACATCATTCAGTTTATTTACTATGGTTATGTCCCACAAATCGATGTGACGTTGTATTGGTAAGTTGTAGCTAGGCTAACTTTTTAATATTTATTAAAGATGTTAATTAGGAACATGTAAATTTTTGACAGACGGGACCTTGCATGCTTTTGATAAATGATTTTTTTCCCAGAAAGAAGTATTTTTCCTCCTGAAACAACGATTTATCAGAAGGGTGTTACAAGCTGACAGGGGGCTAATTTATTAATTCAAATCTAGACTAATGTAGGCATGAAAGTTCACAGAGTCAGTGCATGTGCACGCAGAATTTGACTTCAAACCATATTATAGACACCTTGCCTGCATTCGTAGAGACCTGATACGATAGTTCGCTGGTTATTTTTACCACGCTTAACTTGTAATAAATAAATAATTGGGCTCTTATCGTTAAGTGCGCGTGTACTTGTTTCCAGGGTCACGGAGACGTATAAGAACAGCCAACTCCATTCATGTCCTCAGTCTCCGGTTGTCGCTGCACAGTTACTTGTATATATACCGACCCAATGCTGTCATTTAAATTTACCAAGGATAGCTATAATTAGAAGTGTCGAGGTTTTATAACTTCGGTATTTAAAGGTGAACCGTAACGTGGTCATCGAAGATCCAAAAACGACATTCCTTGTGTAAAATTAATATTCTGGAAGATTAAAAATTTTATGCTGGTTTTCTGGATTTATATTAGATCAATTTTGACTGGTGAGAGGTAAAAATATTTATTTGATTTCTTTCTCTTTACAAAAAGTTCTGGCATAGTGGTAACTCTGTGAAAACTTTGGTCCTAAACTTTGAATGTCACTTATATCTATTCATACCATTTACAAATTGTGATTAAGTTATCATTTTTATATAAACCAGCTAAAAATTATATCCGTGCTGTTAATATTGTTTAGTATTTCTTTTATGTACATGTATGTTTTTTGTGATTTTTCCTTTCTTCTTAAAAAATCCAAACACGATGGAATTCTTAGGAATTTCGAAACAGAGTAATATAACTATTCTGGGGAAAAAAAACGTATAAAACTAAGCGTTTTGTTAAATACAGATTTACTTATTGAAAAACTTTGATCAAAAGAGGCAGTTTTTTAAAGTTTGTTTTCTATTTCAACAGCGATAAAAGTAATGGCGACAACAACTTATTCACGGCGTTTACTAAAGTTGAAACTGACTCGTCAGATGAGGCAGACAAGAGAAAGCATGACGGCGGCCAATGCCTCGATACCACTGGACGTTCTGTTTGAATCTCAGGCCCCTCCCGACACCAAAACTACGGGGCCAAAACCATTCAGTGAACTCCCGGGCCCCAAATCTTATCCACTTATTGGCGGAATTCGTCATTATTTTCCTGGAGGTAATTTTACATGTAAAAATTAACGCTTTAAGAATTTTGGGGGAACAAGTTATGTTTCCATTTTTATTTTGAAGATATTATTGGTTCTTATCAATCATTAAATACTGGGTATGCTTTTGATAGGGCGCTTTTACAAGAAGCAGTTCATGGAAATGCATAAAGAGTGCACTGAGGAGTATGGAAATATTTACAGGGAAACAGTACTTCCAGGACTTGAAATGGTACACATAAGTGATCCGAAAGACTTTGAAGAGGTTTTCCGAAGTGATGCAAAGCATCCAATACGCCAAGCTTTCTTCATGCTTGCACATTATAATAAAAAATACAACCATAATGTTCAAGGACTTTTAACCAGGTATTGTATCAGTGTTACTAGTGAAAAAATATTAACATTTTTCTGTTTTATTGCTCTCCGGGCTGACAAATATATTTATGCATGACCTTTTCACTTCTAGTCAAGGAGATGACTGGAGTGTAATAAGGAAAAAAGTACAACAAAAGATGCTCCGACCAAGAGCGGTGGCCTCTTACCTTCCAGAGCACTCTATAGTGGCAGACGAACTCTGGGATCACGTGATATCGTTACGCAATCATGAAAAGGAAGTGACGGATTTGCGACCGGAACTTGACAAATATGCAGCAGAATGTATGCAATATAGAAAAAAATTCAATACTTTAAGCAAATATAAAATGATTATTCAACATCTTTTTTCAGTAGATTTACTGGTATTAAAAATTAAATATTACTAATCAGTTACAAATATATTTGCTTCCTGTCGCAGGCGTCGGTGTCGTGTGTTTTAATAAGCGTCTCGGTGCCTTCAAAGACCTCTCTCCAGAAAGTGACGCCCAAAAGTTCATACAGGCTGTAGGTGTTGTAATGGACATTAGTCAAAAAGAGTTTAAACAGTTTCCATGGTATCGACTCTTTAAGACACCCTCTTTCAACAAGCTAATTGAAGCTCAGAGTTTCATTCGAGAGTAAGTATCAAAAAATAGTGTTGGGGGGGGGGGGGGTCGACGGATAAATTATTTGCAAATATTTAATAGATTTTTTTTTCAGAATTCTATTAGTGATTTTAATGACATTAACATAATTATGACTGTTGGCTAATTCTCTATTTACTGTCCTTTCTAATAAATCAGAGAAGGTGATGGCGAGATAAACAGTTTTTATGTAAACTTCGTATCTTGACCTCAAGCGCGGCGTAAACTAAAGCATAACCCTTTTGCACTGATCGTTTACGGAAATTGAACTTTCGCATTTGCCCTTAAAAAACCATCTTTGTTAACATGAGTGCTTAACCTTGCCGCTCATTAACCATATCATGAAGATAGCCTCAGGCGAATAAGATAACTTTAAAACCTTTTAGTATCTTTTTTTCAGCATTGCTGTAAAGTATTCTAGAGAGGCTTTGACTAAGATCGGGGATAATGCCTCATTTGATGGGGAACATGGAGACTTAATCCCCTATTTACTGTCCAAAACCTCGTTGTCTGAGAGAGAGGTCCTGACCGTCATCTGCGAATTCATTTTTGCGGGGGTGGATACAGTAAGTGCTAAATTCCAATGTCAGATAAACACATCTTGAATTTCCTTAAAGAATTAGTAAACATAAAACATGTATGCAAAGAATTCTCTGCACTTTTTGATTAGATTGATGATAATATAAGCCTTGATGTATATTTTTAAAATTCACTCTAAGTTTTTTGCTCATGAAACTATGTGTTCTTCAGACAAGTCATCATTTGTCCTTCGTCATGTATCTATTGGGAAGGCATCCAGAAATTCAGGAAAGGCTGTACCAGGAAATTAAGACCACTGTTGGTGACAGCGAAGAAATAACAGATTCACATATTGGAAAAATGTCATACCTGAAAGCTGTGACGAGGGAAACGCACAGGTAAAAAAGAATGAACATGGTTAAGGTTAATCTGTGGATTGTAACTTTTAAAATGTACGATAACTGATTTGTAATACTGCAAAATACTATAAACTTTAAACCATAAACGCCCTTTTTTACAGAATTTTACCGGTCGCCCCCGGAAATATCCGAACTTCCACGAAGGAAATCGTTCTGTCTGGATACAGAATCCCAGCTGGGGTAAGACAGGACTAGAATTATTAAACCGTTATGACCAACTTACAAATATTACTATAGCGAAAAGTGTACTTCTGAATATATAGCGAAAAAATGTACTTTTGAATATTTCGTCATTTTATTAGAAATTTTGATAAACAGGTACAAATTGCCATGCACCACGACTGGGTTTGCACACAAGACGAGCACTTTGAGGATGCCCAACAGTTCCTGCCAGAAAGATGGCTGAGATCTAACAAGACCAAGACTGATGCGCATCCCTTTGCCTCGGTTCCGTTCGGGTTTGGCCCTCGGGCGTGCATTGGTAGAAGATTTGCTGAGCAGGAGAGTCACGTCGCACTGATCAAGGTATCCGTCTTAATTTTTAATTCAATTTTATTTTATCATTTTTTTCTGGAAGGGGGTGGGGGAGAGATTGTCTGTTTACAGCTGTTTTCATATTCAGGAATCTAGATACTAATATTTGAAATCTATTTTTCAGCTGTTGAGAAATTACCACTTGGAATATACAGGCGAGGAACTGCAGAAAGATTGCAACATAACGTACACGCCCATGAACAATATGACTTTCCGGTTCCACGAGCGATGAAGTCATGTGACGCGTCATAACACCTACTCTTCCCTATGAGGTCCATATAGTACACATAAATGCTCCATATGGCAGGAAACAGAAACATCTTATCGAACACCAAAGAGAGGGGGTATAAACTAAAATATGGCTGGAGTGCGTACCAAAGTGCCCATGAATGAACAAAAGCGATTTAACAAGAAACATGACGAACAATATGTTATAACACTATAAATATATATACATGTACATGTGTGTAAATCTAGTTCTAGTTCTAATGCATTAGAAGCATTTGATATTTCATATTCATACGTTTGTTTGGAAAAAATTAAATGAAAATTTCCATCATTGACTTAAGAAATATATATATTTTAAGATTACTTCAATCACTGGTAACCTACCGGTATTTTCTATCCTTTTTCGCCCTGCAGTTTCAGTATACTTTTAAAAATATTTGGCACTTCTCTGAACCAACTGAACAAATTTTGAGTAAATCTGACGTGGAACATATTAAGGAGAGAGGAACAAAAACTGTGAATAGGTCTCTCTCCTGTTGAGCGTAGGAAAAATAAAAATCAAAAATTGCGTTTTAATAAAACAGTATGACTAGTATAATAAGCAGTAACTGGAAATTTTCTTTTCTTCCCCCCCCCCCCCAGATGATGTGTTCCAACCCAGGGCTGAATGGTTATTTATTCAAAATGCATCATATCAATGAAAGAAAACTTCTCTCCCTCTACACAGTTAAATAAACTGCTTGTATACTAATGAGCAATAAGCTGTTTCGCAAGTTACCTGTTTCATCGATCTAGGGTTGGGTTAAAGTGATCAAGTATTTAAACAGCATCTTTCCACACAACTTGAAGTGTTTGCCTATATAATTAGAATAAGCACTTAACCCTCTACCAAACATTTGCAATTCATGTTTCCTAGATACGGGTTTCATGCTCCAGGGCGGGGCTAAATTTAATTTTTTTTTTTAAACTGAAGATTTAAGAGAGACCTTTAGTGAGATCTGGTTTGATGCACAGAGTTGGGGGCTACGTTTTAAAATGCATAAAATTTTAAAAACTCCTGGACGTCCAGCAAACCAACTATTTAAATGTTTATACTGGGAAAGAAGTCTTCTATTAAAAGTGTTAAATTTCTATCCCCTACATCCGAGTGTGCTTATTTTAAAATGGAATAAATCTTTCAAAAGTTTCTGGTTTGATCCTGACATTTTTTGTAATATTGAATTATTTAAGATACAACAGCTATCAGAGGTGAATTGGAAGTATGTCGAGAAAATTATACTCAGGTGAATGCCCTTTGATCTTTTGCCTTACATACCACAAGCTTTTAAAAAATAAAAAAAGGCTATGTGACTTGCTGAGATTTTTGGCCTAAATGCGGTAACACGCAATAATGGAAAAAAAACGACGTCATGTGTGTGTTATGCTAATTTTTTTTATAGAATATTATGACAATAAGGTTGTTCAGTAGGTTTAAAGATTCATTTTTTAAGCTATCGTTTATCTGTAAGTCCAAATACTAGTTCATATGTTGACCCTGAAAGGGTTATACGATATCTGCTCTACTGCCTTACTTATCCGTTTATTCACAGATAACCTACAGACATGTACATATATAACTAATAATTAGGTAAATAATCATTTCGGTCTGTTGACTTTCCGTCAATTTAATGTCCTTTACAAATCAAACTAATTACAACACAGTTTTATTAGTACTATAATGTCCAGACGACTATGTACACGTATCTGCTAGTACATGAAAGTACTTCCTACATGACAGATTGTATGTAATGAACTCGCACCTTGCGTAATATCTACACAATGAAATATGTAATTATCTATATATTATACATATAAATCGGATTAAGGACATCGAGTATACGTGCAGAATTATTATATTACTGTACATGTACAGTGTGTATATAACCCCCCCCCCCATGAACGTAAGGTAAATGAAGATAAAACAAAAGCTAAGCAGTAAATTCTTCACAGTCAGTATGTTAAAATCTCCATTTTTAATCTTATTGAGGAGCAATGCTATCAAAAGTTGACTTTATATTATTCTTGTTTTAGGAGAAAGAAAGGTAATGTCTCGTAACCTTTCAAACTGAGTGATTATATGTAAATAGAGGACACAAAATTGATGTTTCCAAATGAATTTCAAGGAAAAGGCATTCAAAGAAGTATGTAATCACAGCTGACAAACAATCTACTTTGATATAAAATTTGAAAGTTTATAGTTCCCTTAATCATGCCAGCAGGAAGAACCTTTAAAGACCAAGGGTCGTGATTCGTTTTTTTTATTCACTTTTTTACATAGTGACTATTTACTCGCATTTTCATAATTTCTCATAAATTCAGTAAGCAAAGCAAATCGTGAACAGGGCAAAAACACAGACCCTTAGAAACAGCAGAGGTGGGATCAGGTGCCTAGGTGGATTAAGCTTCCCCTGTCACACCTACCGTACGCCCTATGTATCGATCAGGCATATGGAGCACTCCATTGTCAGATTTTTAGTATAAAGGCAATGACCTAGTAAATGGTATGAAACATGTCAGGCGAAATTCAATCCATCTATAGGTTGTATATATTTACAGACAAGGTCGTTATAACGACCGTACAATTTGCGAAAAGCTTATTATACTTCCAACGGGGTTGTTGAATCCTTCTAAAATCAATTTATTTGTCAGTAGTTTGTCTCGGGTTAAAAAAATTATCGTTTTCAGAGCATGCTCTTGTGTATTAAATTAGTTGCGAGACATAAAGACCATGTGCAATATTGCTCCACAGGTAAAGGAATCGAAATTGACGATGAAAAACTGAAGTCATCCCGTTTGTCATACACTTTAGTTATTAGTTGGCCATTATTGTCTATAGTCAGTAAAACAACTAAATATGAAGCAGATGTGGCGACTCTGTCGTGTCTTCAAAAGCGTATTCCTTGCTCTATTTTGTTTTTAAGAAGACTTTTTTTACATTTCAAATACTAGAGGAGACGCCAAACACACTATTTATTGTTGTGTAATGTTATACATTGTATTTACTTGATCATTTCTTCAAGAATGAAATAAACTTTGAAACTTTTTATTTCACTAAAGCCCCCACATAGGGTATGTTAGTACAATGAAAGTTTAACAATTGAACAAAGCAACATGTGAACAGTTAACATAATGAACTACAAAAAGATCTTTGATACTGCGTATTGTAGTCCCAATTTCAACTCAGAGCTGTCGTTCCTCTTACTGAAGAAACTTTTTGAAACTCGAACAAAAGTACAAAAATATGATACTCAGCATATCTTGACCTCGTCAGGTCGGAGTCACTTTTTTCACTAGCTAAATGACACCATTGTGCAATCGCAACTTCTCGGGGGGGGGGGGGGGTGTCTCCAGCAAGCTCGGAAAAGCTAGTCAAAATTACGCCAAATCAAAACTATGTTCTCAGAGTTCCCGACAGGGACAACGAGTCGGCTGACTCCGGCCAAAGAGATTCCTGCGAAGGAGACACAGCCAATGCCTATGTATATTTTTATTTAAAGCTTAGTTTATCACCGGAATGACTTTTTCGCTGGTCTCTTCATTCCTAGTTGGTGTTCCACTTTGGCTATATGGTCACAGCTGACGGTAAAAGATCAGTTCTGAGCATCAATATCCTTGGCATGCATTTACACGTAATTATTTTAACTAGTATTGTAATTCTATTGTTTGATTTATCGTCTAGATTCCAAATTTCGTTACTTCCAGTCAACTTTAAAACGCTGAAGATCACTTAAAAGTATTTCGCATCTCTTTCTAAAACAACACACTTTTTGGAGGCAAAGTATACTTAATTTATTGCTAAAATAATAATTTTTGCCTTCCGTTCGACTTAATTGTTCCTAAATTTTCCTGCTTGTTTTTGCTTCGGCTGCCACCATAAGTAACCCGGAAGTAAAAAATATTGCCCCAATGACTTGAAACGAGAGATTCCAGTTTGCTGTTAAGTCAGCCATCAATCCTGAAAAAAATAAAAATTTCAACTATTTCGTCTTTTTACACAATTTTCGCCTGCGTTTTTGGTGTCTGTATTTGATACAAATCTACAATAAATAACAATTTTTGTATTGCCTGTCATAGAATTCCCAACAAATTCCTATGCCTCGTATGGCTTTTTGCTGCACAAAGTTCATCAAATAAAACGGATGCTTAAAGAGGCTGGGGGGTTGTGGCCATTTTAGACTATATTGATCTCCTTTAGAAGAAGAGCTCCATATGAAGATATAGAAAATGATCAAATTTTAAAACTGAAATTTTTGAAATTTTTCTTTGCCAAATGATAGTTGACAGCTTAAGATATCATATCTAAAAAATTAAGTTAAATCTGGTGGTTAATTTGTGGTTAATTTGTTGACCCCCAGCCTCCTTAAATGAAAAGTGCTCAAAATTCTTGATAATGATTAAAATTCAAGTTGGTATAATTACATTTTTTGTAAGGCTGAAAGAGGTCTTGCTTATACCTGTATAATTTTTTTTGTTCCGATATAAGTAAATACCCCCAGTTGTGCTTACCAAGGCCGGGTACACACACCGCCACCAAAAGAGCCCCCATTACTATGGCCGTACTTAATGAGGCTCCCAAATTCTTCAAACCACAGCTTCTGACAAGAATGGGCGGCATGAAAACAAAAAAAGTTCCCGGAAGTGCGCCAGTAATGGCTGCGTACGCATAAAGAAGCCATAGTTTTTTCGTGAAAGTTACAACAACCGCTGCTACTCCGCCGACAAACATAACAGTGCTGTGTAGGATGGCGGGTGATATGTAATCTGCTAGCCCACCCATCATTATTTTGCATATAACTTCTACTGAGCTCAATATGACCATGGCAAGGACAGCAGAAGTGTCATCAAAACCTCTACTTTTTACAAAAGCTGGATACAAAAAGAAATGAGAAGCGTATCCAATCTGGGCCAAGGCTAGCGATGCACACTCAAGAGCAAATGAGAGATTTCGGAACAACGTAAAACGAGTTTTGAAGACTTTTCTCAGAAATTTTGTAAATGTGTTTATAGGAGGGATTCGATCAGACGTCATGGTTAGAGATACGTTAGGCCCCTTTAGCTGTTGAGGTTGTCTTATTAATGAACCAGCGACACAGTTATTTAATACAATCCCGCTTATGATTAGTAAGCAACCCTCCAGTCCATACTCATCGAATAGACTTCTGTAAAGGTATTGAAATATAAACATTCCCACACCACTTGCAGAGTTGAGGAGGCCACTTGCTAAGGCACGGCGCTTCTCAAAGTAGAAGTTCAGGACAGTAGCGCATGGTGAAATCAAAAGTCCATATCCCATCCCTAAAGAATGAGGGAAACGGTTCAAAGATGAAAAATGTTTATTTATTTCATTTTAGTATTTTATTTTATTTTCATTCTTTCTGGATACTTGGTTACATTATTAAACATAACATCGTTTTATCCGTAACAGTGCTGAAATATACATGACAATGACATGGTCCATATCCAGTGGCGGATTTAAGGGGTGCGCACCCGGCGCTCCTCCCCTAAAATAGTCAAAGTTAGCTGAAATTATAGTTTCGTTGAGAAAATGTAAAAATGTCTATTCTGTAGACCTCATTTTTGCCCTACAAATTCTCTAGAATCCAGGAGCTTCAGGGGACTCAACCCCCTGAGCCCACTGGGGGCCTCAAGGCGGCCCCAGACCCCTGCCTACTTTTTGTGCCCCCTCTAACTTCAATTCCTGGATCCACGCCTGATACCCAATGAAAAAAAAACGTCAGTAAGGCAACGAACTCGTTTTGAGACGGGTTCTTTGTTCTTGGATCCATTATAACCCACAATGAAAGAGATAGGTTCAATGACCTCCTATTTCAGTCCTTTATGAACGATAAATAACCATGCTTTCACCTCTATAATATTCGTATTTACTTTTTTTTTTTTTTTTTTTTTTAGAAAAAATGTAAATAAGTAGGCACCCATCAATTAACTAAAAATCAATCGAAAACATTTAAAATATTCGCGTATAGCAAGAACAGTAACTCATTTTTTTTCTTTTCTTGTCCAGTGTTCGAAACGAGTTATGCTTCTTGAAGCACTTCATACGTACCTGTTATTAGTGTGTAGGTCAGAAACATGACAGGTAATCTATTGACAAATACGCTGAAGAAAAGCCCAGAGGACTGAAATATCCCGCCGACAAGGAGCACCTTTCGGAACGTTGTCATTTCACCCAAGGTACATCCGAATAGTCCTTTAGTATAGAGAATACAAGCGTTATTGGAAATTTCGGTGCTTCTTTTTTTTTATCATTCAGAAAACTAAATTCATTGTTCGAATTTTTGGACGGAACCAAGCGTGTATTTTTTAATGTTCAATTTCTACTCTTTTTTTTTAAATTCCATTTTTTTAATGTTTGAATTATATTGACCTTTATTGAAGTGTGATATCGGAAAAAAGTAAAAGCTATTATATATGTAATCTTGTTGCTGCTAGTATCAAAATTTAAGATAGTCAGTTATGTCCACTTTACTAAAAAAAAACAGAATCCTCCCTAAGAACAGAGAAGCTCCTCTATGCTCCCAGGTTCTAAGTCCATTAAGGAAGCTCTTAACACTAAAGAAAAAAGAAAATTATAAGGCCGCGGTCTTGTATATAAAAGATGTACATGTACATACATTTACAGTAGTTCCTTTTCCACATAGGGTACCATATTTCCCCAGAAAAAAATGTTCAAAGACAATGAAGATTAGTAAACAGTTGTTTACTTACATTGGCAAATACATGTAAGTAATGTACTCAATTCCTTTATCTTCGTCTAATTTAATGCTATGAATACTGTAATGTATTACAAAATGAGCCTTTTACTGTAGATTCCCGTTAATTTTATTTTACATCTAAGGAAAGATCACTCTAAATGCCTAGAATTCCTTAAGCTCTTCTGTGCACGATATAGCACGTGTATTTCGTTTAATGGTCCATCTGTTCCATGAAATAAAATTTTGCTTTAATGATAATGATTTTCCGAAAGGAATATTTATAACTGAAATGCTAACAATTTCAGCATACCTTGCGGTGCAAAATTTAACAGAATTGGACTTTTAATCTGACAATTTTTATAGTGAAATTAATACACATTTAATATTCATTATTCCTAAAGAGTTACTTAGTATCTCTCTTATCAGAAGGTCAATGAATCGAAAAGCGGAGCCCTTTACCTGCTCAGGCTAATGTACATTGATCGATTGACATTATAGATTGTTCTTATCACAAATAATAATTTATATCACTCAAACTGTGATTTATTATGTACAGTAGTGTGACATGAATGAGTTCGCAAAATGACCGCCATTATGAACGTAAATAAAAAAAATCGCAAAAATTAAAACTGTTTTAATAAATCAAAGGAAGTAAATTTTCTTACTTGTAAGGCTCAGTATTTGATAATCTGCCATCGAGATCGAAGCACAGTGCGTATTCTCCTCGGAAGTCTGTATAGACTTTTTATATAATATAAAGGGAGGGTACTCCAAATGTCAGACACGATGCGTTTTAGGTCATGACTGTTTTGGATTTCATTTAAACGTTGGTTAATCTTGCATTTTAGAACTTTCCACACATTTTCTATTATATTTATATCAGGGTTTTTGTGCTGGCCACTGATGGGTGTTAATATTCTCTGCGAGAGCTCGTGCCGAAACATGACAAGGCGCATTATCATCTAGTAATATCCACTGCCTGTTAGCAAAATGTCTTGCAATAACTGGCTTAAAATTATCATTCAAAACAGAAATATACTTATCTGTATTCATATTACCATCCACTGGTACAAGTGTTCCAACTCGTACGTAATACACCCTCAAAACATCGCAGATGCTTTGCATGTTATCTCCCTGTCACCCATAATACCCAAGCAATTGGGACGCATTCTCTTTTTTATTCCAAGAATAATTTTTGTCTCAACACTAAAAATGACTGATTGGTTCTCAACAGTCCTATTTAATTTCCGCCCACAAAATGTAATCCTTCTCGCACGGTTAACACGAGATATTGTAATGGTCTTAGAAATGGGATCATGACATTTGTAACCATACTCAAACTATCCTTGACTTACTGTTCTCGTGGATACTTGGCAATGTGTTCTTTCATTAAATCTACTTATGAGATCTTTTAAAGTCTGTCTGTTATCCCCTTTCATATTTCGAAGAAGAATCCTGTCATCCCGCGCTGTTGTCTTTCTAGCACCCCCACTTCTCAGCATGTTATCTAGATATTCCCTCGGTCTAGTACCCATTTCAGAAATTTCTGAATTGTTCGGCAGTTACATTCTGAATTTTGTAACTTGAATTACCCGCAGATGATAAATTAATTATGATTTCTTTCTGGTCGGGTGTCATTTCTCCTCCGTGGGAAGGCACGTTTCCAGGCAGACGATAAAATTGTTTTTACCAAAGAAGAATAACTCAATAAAGATTAGATACGGTTAAAAGGATAAAAAATATTTGTTTCGGATATTATTGGATCGCGAATGCTCAAATATTAATGCAGAAATGCATATCTGAAATGAAGCAAGAACTGGAAGATGGAACAACGACGCCATTTTGCAAACTCATTCACGGCACACTACTGTAGATGGTAAAAACATCACTTGCCTGTGATGGAGATCATAGAGGCTTGTCTTCCGGATTTTGTTAAATGTAAAATAAATTAATAAAATTTTAAATCGTCTTTAAATACACTCAAAAGTTGTTAAAATAGAGATTCTGACACTTTCAGTCAAGAAAAACCACATCTATATATATAAACTCTACAAGGGACGAAAGCTCTCATCTTGGAAAAAAAATACCCCCACCCACTTAAGCGCCTATTTCTAGAGCATTAATTTATTTCGTTGCCATGGTTCTGTCCCCTACAGTGATGATTTTCCTAAATGTTGATGCGTTTGTCAGTCGTGAACACGCGTTTAATCACAGAAAACGGATACAATTTCTTCGATTTGGAGCTCATCTCTCTAAATCGAGCCCCTATGATGGAGATAAACGGAAAAAATGATCGATTCTGACGAACATACAATACTGATGTACGTAAATTAATATATGACAACACAGCAGGTGAATACAGAACAGTATTAAAAAATACATTGATACATTTTACGTCAGGGGATATGAACTTTTGTAGCATATATGACATATTGCTCAGAAGGAAAGCAGTAATGGTCCCACAAATTTTCCGCAAAAATTTCAAGTTTTTCCAGCAATGTAATGCTTATAGGGAATTTTATTAGCTTTTTAAGCAGGAGATAAAATAGACAAGAGCTGTCCTGGATCTTTATATGGTATAGCGCCCCAGACCCCTGTGGCTAAGTACAATTTGTCATCTATCATAAAGGCCCACCTTAAGATATCTAAATGAAGCGGTAGAGTATATAATTAAAAGGTAAACCTCAATCATATCAATGTTTGTCGCTAAATTCTTCACTCACAATAATAATAACTATCTCAAATACATAATGTAATTTGATCCTCACCAATGAAGCTCATTACTAGTGAAGTCACCGACCCCACCATGGCAGTGGTTCCTGCCCCACCGTCATAGACCTTCAATAGTTCCACTAACAACATTCCATAGGATTTCAGCAGACCAAACGCCAACATATTTATACAACAGCATGCTACAACAAATGTCGGTAACATTGACTTCACAAGCCTATAGTATATTTTTAAAAGTGAGAGGGACAAAAATACAGGAGCAAAAACACACATTCTTGATTTCAGTTATAAGTTATTATTCTGAAAACGTGGTCTATTTCCCCCCCCCCCCCCCCAAGCAGACAAACTTCGGTAAATTTACATGCAAAGAGAGGTTTGTCAAATAACTTTTCACTGTATACAGAATTATCTTTGTAAAATTATTATATGATTTTAAAATTTCAACCTGATAGTACAATCCAAGAATATCCGGTATCCATTTTCTAATACGAGTAGACACAATAAGTACATGTATGCATGGTCACGAACATGTGACAAACTCTAAGTAACATCAAAGACTCAGCACATTCAGTCAATATACCTGTGGGTACTCAATGTACCTTTGTAGGAAGTCTACCCTGGACTGTTAACCCATACAAAATTAAGGAATGTCCTTTTCATTATCGAAAAAAAACCTGGAAACATGTACATATAGAAATATTGTAATGTTAAACAAAGAAATATTATAATGTTAAACAAATGAATTTAAAAAAAACGTTTTTACTTTAATACATATACGTGACACTTAAATGTTAACAAATATTTTCATTATATGATTGAATAATTTATTTCCGTCTGATTAGCTGAGATCCAACATTGTAGAAAAAATACTACGTTATGTTCACCTACACGTGACCTTCCAGGTGAACACTATACAGTTATTGAATGGGTATGAGGGCACATATGATTTGTTGGACCTGAAGGTGAAAATGTTGCCCGAGGCCGCAGGCCAAGGGTAACATTTTCACCTTCAGGTCTAACAAATCATATGTTGCCCGAATCCCAGTCTATAACTGTTTTGTTATACCCTTCACTTCAGATAGACCACTGAAATGAAAACATTTGAACAGATTTAATCAATATATTAACAATTACTTTTTGTGGAAAATTTGGCTTTATCAATAAAAATGTTCCGATAGCAGAGAATGAAAAATTTAATCATAACATTATTATATCATAGAAATTATTTATCACTTAGCATAATTTTTCCGTAACTCTATCTTTCAAATAGCATACGACAACTCTTCGGCTATTTCCGTGACGTCGATATTGAACGACTACTAATTACTTGTGACGTGGCAGTGACGTTGCGGTCTTACAATTCTTATGTTGGGCTGACAAGCCGGTCAACAATGAAATTGTTAGACCGATGCAATGAACATTTCGTTTGTTGGACCTTTTATTAGAATAAATATATAGAAAAATATTAATAAGGGTATAAGAAAAGGATTTATTTTCTCTATATTGGTCTAAACCCCAGACTGATACAAAAAGCTTTGGAAAGTTATTTCACATAGAATCGGGGAGGGGGGCACAATTTTTTGTGACCATAAATTTTTATCTTTAACCTCTGTCGTAATTTTTAAAAAAAAAAACAAAAAAAAAAAAAACGTACATATTACAATCTATAACTTCCGTGATTTCATTTCGCTGTGTGTAAGACATCGAAATTTTTGGAAAATAATCCTGCGATACACTTGCCTAACATTTTTCCTGCTCAGATACACATATTGTTTTCAACGTTGGGGTATTGATTGTGACGTCACAATGCCGCTGCACGCGCACTAACCCTCCGGTGAATACGGCTTCAAATCCAGTGAATATGTAGTGTTATGAACCGTTTGCGTTTGTATAAATTATATAGGGGCTATTTATAGACTATATAATAATGTGATATAGCTACCTTTAAGATACAATATTCACCTCGCCTTTCGGGCTCGATGAATATTGTACTCCTCAGGTGTCTAAATAACCGTATTTACCTCAAAACAGCAATAATTGTAAAATGTAAGCTTACAACATTGCGAAAAAAAATCATTTATGTGATTTTTCAACGCATACATCTTGACTTTCCAATGAAGCCAAAGAGCCATTTGGCATAAAGAAATAAATAAGGCCACACCAATTTAATTTCTTGTTCGTCGGACATTTGATGAAAAAAAGTACGAGCGGGCAAGCGGTTAAATAATAATATTATTGCTTTTTTGTAGGCAAAATTTTTAGGCGGAGCGTGAAAAAATTTGAGCGGACAATTATATTTTTTTCTGTTTTGCACAGTAAGCAGATTTAAAATAAGAAAAATAGAGCGGAAATGGAATAGAAAATAGCACAGAATTTCCATGGTGCGGGGAATTGAAATTAATATTATTTGTATAGTTATGCTTAAATACGAGCGCGCGGGTCCGACGAACAAAATTTTATTGGTGTGGCCTAACTGCTCAACTGACCGATAGATACACATGTACATATATATAAATATGATAAAGATCAAGCTCCCATGGATTGTCACAAACGATGAATACATTGCTCCGGATGCTATATGTTAAATGGAATACTTCAGTTGATAGGTTAATGTACAATCTTATTTGGACCAAGTTTACTCTGTTACTGCATCTGGACAAGCGTATCATCGATGATTCATCAGACAGTGCATGTGACCAATGTTTCAAGGCACTCGTTATTCAAGCAATGGCATGCATATGTCTGACATAATCTAAATTTGAATCTGCACAATGCATTTTCTGTTGGCCAAATGACTAAAATTATTTTGATTTTTTTTTAAAATGCTAATTATTTACCACTTAACTTGTAGGGTTCATCCAGTCTGACTTACAGATTAGATTATCGTATCTCTGTTTACATGTTCATCAAGAGGATAATTATTATACATGTATGCTTTTGAAATAGCTATCATTTAAGGTCATTGAAAAAACAAGTTTATCTGGACAACAGAGATGAAAAAAATATTTGAGTGAAGAATTACTGACCAATTTCCAAATGGAATATTATATTGCAATTATTGTTTAAGTTTGATTATGAATAAGAAAGGAAATCGTGGGAAAACGGTACAGAATCAACATTTTACTACGACTAATATTTTGCATTTTAATAGGAAATTCGAGGGAAAAAACTTCAGTCATGTGTTCTGTGAATATAAATTAATGATAAGGTATTCAAAGTATTTTTGCACATTTTTATGAGCTATTTCGCAAGTGAAAAATGGATCTTTTATGTGGTATAATACTTTGATGACTATTTGTTGTGACGACAGACAATATTACCAGCGGTCTTAAATGATAACGTCACAATCGTCTTGATCGAACTTTACACCCACTTGGCGATTTTTACGTATAATTCCTCTGTTTGTCTTTGTTCGAAAACCAGTATTTAAATCTAATAATAACTTTTTTGCTTTTGTTACGCTCATTAGGGAAAATGAATGTGAAATTCAGAGTGCAAAAGCCAACCTCTTAGGGCGCCACCTGCATGGTGCTATTCCGACCATGTTGTGTGACAGGTGGAAAATGACTTTGATACGGTTACAAGAGAAATCTATACAAGCTAAAACAGACCATATTTCATTGTCTATGTTGTACTAAATTTCCAATCGTTGATCTGTTGCTATATGAAATGAATTAATCTTTCTTTATCTGATAATGTCAAACGGGTCTTTTATTTTTGGTCGGTCACAATTTCAGTATTTAAATCTCATAAATGACAGTTAGCCTTTTTTCATTCATTGAAGAACAAATTGTAATATTCTAATGTGATAACATTATACCTACTATTGTGTGACATTTATTAGATCGTGCCATTTCTTTATCTCGACCAGCTAAGCCTACAGTATATATTATAAAGCGCAGTATATAATAGTAAGTATATAGAAGAAATCCAATGTTTTGTAGTTGGATATGGAATTTATTTCAGGAGTGGGACAGGATTTTTTTTTTAATATATATTTTCAGGAGAGCGAGGCACGACTTAAAATATGCAAAAGTCCTGTCTCACGAGTGAAATAAATTCCATACCATACTCAAAATAATTGAATTTTCCGTTTATTACTTTTTTTATTTTCCCTTTGCCTTTGTCCTTTCGTAACACAATCATAGAGATAGTGAGATTGAAAACATTGTAAGCATGGATTTCAAAACACATTTGGAGAATCTTTGGAAGTTTTAGTCTCTGTCAGGATGGTTTATTTATTTTCTATTTTATAACAGGCCAGGAAGTATTTTTTATACACTTTTCGTTAAAGGAAGGAAAATCGAGAGTTTTGCCACACATATGATATTCTTTCACACTGTGACAAAATATCACTCTAATTTTCTTTCACACTAACAAAATATCATGTTTATTCAATATATTAAATTACAGTATTTTACTGTAGATAATGTAATAAATTTGCATATGCTCTGTTATTTTCCCCTGTAAACCTGTACCTAGGAGTTGTATTAATTTTATTAATTTTATTATCTCCAAAAATGCAATTGCTCTCAAGATATGCGCATTTTGTGCCAAAATCTCACATGGAAAAATCTACTACGTAAAGGATATGCTATTCAGGAGTATATATAGAAATTTAGAAAATATAGTTTTAGAAAAATCGTAGGTTATTATTATAAACTCAAAAAAATGATAAGATAAGAAGGACTAATGACGCTCTGCTCTCAATTTCATTTTTTTTTTCTTGTTTTAAACTTCCCAACATTGATTTTCATCAAGAGCTATAGCATTAGATTCAAATGAAAAATAAAATGAGGTATGAAGCGCTGCTTATTTTTGCAGAAATGATTTTATGTCAGATCATGATATGAAGGAATTTTAACACAGAGAATAGGAAGATTCATAATTTCTAAACACAACATAAAATTAACAATATGAGGTGAATATGAAAATAATATTTAGTGTCATTCCTATTAAATTCAGATTAGAAAACGTAATAAAACGCTGCTTCCTAAATCAGAATATCACAACGTTATATGTAATTGTGAGAAAAGATTACGTCCATTAGCAAGAGTTATCTTTCTGATAAATATTTTTTTCAATGAAAAAAAATGTAACTTTAATAAAACTTGATACATTAAAGCATTTTTAAAATGGCCCATTAAAAGATAGAACCTATTCAATTTGAAAGGGTTTGAAAACTGGATTTAAATTTTTTTTGTCAAATATAATAAAACAATTTGAAAAGTATATGTAAAAGAAAATAGAAATCAATGTTTCAAAAAAAAAAAAAAATCAGGTTTGATCGAATTGATTACTCAAATGTCTCAAATATTGAACTCTGGCTAAGTAAAGTATGAGTAATATTGGAAGATTATCTCTCTTTATCAGAGGGTCGGTCCCCCTTAATTGTCAGCAACGTTTAAAATTGTACAATAAATTTTTTTCCAAGTAAAACACGTAACGTTATACATAATTATGTGATAACTCTTCACAAGGGTAAATTTAGTTCTTACGTAGCAAAATGACGTCACAATCAGTGATATGTCGTGAACTTTACATTGTTTTGAATATTCTTAAAATATTTGCATTTCAGAATTTATTTTATTTTCATAAAATGAAGGGAAAAAAACAGGCAAAAACTTACATAAAACATAAAATTCTTTTCTTTTACTATAATTATCTGTCAGAGAGTAAAATACTTCGAATAATACCGTGGTACTGTTTATGAAGTACGACGAGTGAAAATGAAACAAAAAGTTGGCAAAGAGAACATGTAAACAGGTAGTGTAAAATTAGTATTTAGAAATATCGTGAATGTGGTACGTAATTCGTATGGAACTAAATTGAACTGAACAGGTAAATCTGCTGATTTATTTTCATCATTTGACTTGTAAGCAACCGTGTTACAAATATTACAGTCAGCCTTTCCTCTGTCGTTCTTGTCAACATCATAGAATGCAAATATAAATAATAAAAAACGAAATTCAGTGAACATGGTGGTAAAAATAGCAATTCCTCTGCTGGTATATTTTCCATGATACGCGCTTCAAGTGCAACAGCATAGCCACAGTCTACTGTATGTTTGCAATCTCCTATGCAGAGTTGTCGTTCGTTTCTCTCTCAGACACCTCTGCAATGGGCTCGCGTCAAGATTTTTGACATAAGGTATAAAAACATGATATTCCAAGGAATTTTTCAAATTAAACTAATATTTCTAGATCTACTTGGTAAATATCTACCTTAAAAGACAAACATTAGTGAAGGAATTTAATTATTATAATGAATTAAAACAAATGCACTATTTCTTATGCTTTGCACTGCGATATACGTGAGCCAACGACAAAGGTGAATGTACATGTATGAGCCGATGGTAGAGAGTGGTATGTTTGATGGCTTAAGTTCTGTCAGGTCAATTAAACTTAAATGCCCTGGTATCAAGAGACACATTTATGATTAATTCAATATTTAATAAGATAATCTTTATGAAGGGCACTAAAATATATTTATTAATATACCTAACTGTGTATCACCCAATTTTACTGTTGATTTCACGCAATCATGTGATGGTTTTCTCAATCTATACATAGAAGGGCGTCATCAAGCTACATGTAATACTGTTAATGTGGGTAGCACGTGACCTGTGTGTACACATTATGGTTTTCTATACCCATATCCATATCACGTCGCACGCATGGCGTAATGGTTAGGGCGTCTGCCATAGAGTCGCATAGTAAGGAGTTTGATCCTTACGTCGCGGGTTCGAATCCTACTGTGGGAGGTGGAGACCGGTCCTTCGGATGAGACCGTATAAACCGAGGTCCCGTGTCGCAGTAGTTGCTGGCAGAAAAAGATCCCTCACTGCTCAAAGGCCCTGAGTGCCGAGGATAGGTAAAAAATTTGTAGCTCTCCACCGATAAGTGGTGGCGGCCCGTATGAGTGAAAAATTTTCTAAAGTGACGTTAATTTTCTCTCTGCAACTGATGACGTAGTACACAATCTATATGCCGTTATTTTCTTGCGTATCAAAAAGTTCCTCGAAAAAGTGTTTTGTCTAATGGATAAAAGTTGTATAATTGATCCCCAAAGCTTTTTAAAAAAATATTTGGCTTATAATTGAGGGGCATATAATAAAATTTATCATTCTAACAGTAACTTGATCCGAATAGCCGTATCATGTCGAGTTGACAGGCGCGGATCATCAGATCAAACGAAACGCTTCGTGTCTCGTTTGTTCTGATGATCTGCGTCTAGCTGTTTACTCGACATGATATAGCCATTTGGATCAAATTACTGTTGTAACAAGCATTCTGAGAGTATTGCATTAGCAATACTAGTCCCCTACCGGCAAGTGTAATCTGGTTCCCGTTAAAAATTGAAAATGCCATAATTCCGTCAAAAATCATTGAAACGGAACGAAATGCAAACTTAATATATAACCAATCAAGGTAAAGTCACATACCAAAAATCTGCTCAATATCTGCAAGCATTTAGAAAAAAATTGCGGAAAACCCTTAAAAATTGAAAAGATCGTAATTCCGTCAAAAATCAATGAAGCGGAACGAAGTGCAAACTTGATCTGTAACTCATCAAGATACACTCACATACCAAAAATCAGCTCAATATCGGCAAGCGTTTAGGAAAGAAGTGCGGAAAACCAAGTGGGACAGACTGACAGAGGGACAGACGGACCTGTTTTCGTTATGGTCCTAGAGTCGTGCCCTTTTTATTAGTCCCCTACCGGTGAAACCGGAGGGGACTATTATGATAGGTTTCCTCTGAGTCTGTCCGTCCGTCTGTCTGTCTAGCTGTCCCTCTGTCTGTCTGTCAGTCTGTCCCACTTGGTTTTCCGCACTTTTTTTCCTAAACGCTTGCAGATATTGAGCTGATTTTTGGTATGTGAGTTTATCTTGATGAGATACAGATCAAGTTTGCATTTCGTTCCGCTTCATTGATTTTTGAAGGAATTATGGCATTTTCAATTTTTAACGGGAACCAGATTACACTTGCCGGTAGGGGACTAGTATTGCTAGTGCAATACGCTCAGAAAGCTTGTTTTCCTCGAGTATCTTGCAAGATTGCATCCCCTGCTGCACCAAACATCGTTAGAAAATTTTTTTAGATCAATTTGGATTTCTTTTTCCATATTTTACTGCAGACGACGATAAGGTCAAAAACAGGTGAAATATAGTCATAAACAAAATTTCCCCTCACTTAACATAAAATCCCTATTACCGCAGACGTTTGACAAGAAAGCTCACGTAATATTTTTTATACGATCTATCTCAAGTTTATTGGCCCTAGGACCTGATTTTCGAAATCGTGTAATTAAACATGGGTTCTTTGAACGAGATGTAAATAATCAATTGCATTATTTATCTCTAAACGATCAATTCAAATGAAAGAAAAAAAATGTTTATAACTAAGGTATGATTTACATAATGAAACAGTACTTCAAATTTATTTACAAAACAGACACAATCAAATTAGGGTAACGACCCATGGACCTCCGAGGATATAAACTATATACTTTTCATAGTAGGCCTATATTTTTTGTAGAAACGCAAGTTCTACCCACAGGCACTTGAAATCATTTGTTTTTCCTTGCAATAAAAAAAGTCTACAAACTTGTGATTTACTAGATAGGGGTAATTTTTTGTGATGAGAAAAACAAATATGACATCACTTGCCTGTGGTTCTAGATCTACAAATATCCGGTCGATGATTGTTACATAAATGAACACCCAGTGACGTGCCTTTACATTAAATTCAATTTCATAAGAAAAATCTCTTGCTCAGTGACTAGTTTTCTAAATTCTTCTGAAATACAAAACTTTTTAAAATGTCGGTGAAATAATTAACACATTTTCTTCTGTTTCATACAAATTTAATTACCAATTTTATAAAAGCAAAATTAATGAAAATAATTACTGTTCTACATTTGATATGTCCGAGAATTAACACATGGTACGTTGACAACTGTTTTCAAAGTTTTAACTTAACATGCATAAAAATAAAAAAAACATTGTATGGATTTAGACACAGGTAATACACGTTTAAGCCACTCAATCTGTATCATTACAAGTTTTACTTTAACAGAAGGTTACAGATCTTGACAGGACATACAAAATATCACACATGAAATAATGCAACAAATAAATATTTAAAAAAATTATGACGTAGAAGTGCGGACGGAATGTCGTAAAATGAGACGTCTAATGAATTGCATAGTTTCGGAAGTCTCTTCCTAAAATCTCCGTACAAATCAAAGAACACAATGTATGCAAAACAATTTTAAGAATCTCACTGTGTATAGATATAACATAAACATTTGACATCATATTTTTACCTTAGCCCCAACCTAATAAATCAGGTATAGAGGGCAATATTCGACTAAGGAAGAAATAAGAAGTTAAGTGTCTGTGTTATAACATTCAAACTTCCATTTTCAAAAACCCAGGTCAAGTGGATCAAAGGATTGAACCATCGCGGATTTCTGAAAACTTCAGTACTAATGTTATAGATATACAGGTCTATTATGGCAAATTATTATGCACAGTAGTTGGCATCAACGAAACACTTCGGTATCTTATGTTGATGACCAGAAATTATTAAAATAATTATGAACACTTGAAATGTTACACTTCTTGTAATGTTCAGGTCATGTGGATCGATTTTCCCTGGATCCATCACCGTTCATTACTGCTCCCTCTCCGTTCCGAAACAGTCCTTATCTTGTGGATTTATGATGTCTTTCATCAACAGGGAAGAATAATTACTTCAGAAATGGATTATGAAAATTTTTTGAGAATTTGTCTCCAATATTCCCAAAAGAAATTTGTTTCGTGAACGTCAGTAATGTTTTCTTCACTTCAAAATGGCTGACACTGTGGAACGTCGATCCCCGTACTAACTGCCTTATCATCTTTTATGTCACGGAATATTTTATAATTACAATGTAGTAAATGCAACTCTGAAAGATAATTTCACATAAAGTGCATATTAGCAAAGTAGATTCATTTTCGTATATCAAGAGTTACCTAAACTTTAGTTATTATGGCATATTTTGGTTTTCATCCGGAAAAATCATTTGAAACGTCTTCATGTATAAAACTGGATCATCGAAGCCATGATTGGCAATCAATTCAGGTAGTTTTTCAAAGTTCCTTAAATAAGTATTGTCAAAATGAGTATTATTATGGGGTGATATTGCGAGTTTGTTTAAAACAATGCCCAAATAAACGTCATCAAAACTTAAAGAACGTATATAGGGGAAAATTTTCTGCATGTCTTGAATGATCTCCATGTGAGCTATCATTGAGCTGCCCCCTACGTAAGGCGGCCAGTAGTCAAATGGGTACGCCTCCCACGATATGTACCATTTAGAGTCTGGATCTCGAACAGGTTTCCCCCGATCCGATAAACATCCCGAAAAAAACTTTGGATTTTCCAATTCAAGGATTTTGGCGTATTTCAGCAAGTTGTCTATATGTAAAAACATGTCATCGTCATCAAAATAGACATACTTGAAATGGCTGCAATGTTGGACAACCCAGTTAAAGGCCATGATTGTTTTATATGTATTATTAAGGTAATCGTCTATGAAATCTTCCTGCACGATGTCGTTATGTTGAGAATTTTCTTCTAAAACCAATGGCTGTAAATCTTTATTATATCCAAGGGCAAAAACAACAGGTAGGTTATTTGCCTTTGCCTTTGGGATCCATGTGTTTCGTAGGACCTTTCTTAAAGCAAAATGGCCCACAGCGGATTTCACAATGATTACAAGATTGTTTTGCTTGGTGTCTTTACATATATGATCAGGGTTGAGAATGAATTTAAAGGGATGTTTATTTACAACTGGCAAGTCAATGCGTTCACTTCTAATTTTTTCACGAATATCCACCTTGACAGGGGGATATCTATATTCCGTGTCGTAAGAGTAGAACCGGAATTGTATCACCTCTTCATCTGGGAATATTTCCGGCAGAATACCTCCGATTGGTCTGCGATAATAGCTGTGCTGTTGAACAATAGTAGTCCCGAAAGTTGCAAAAGCTGCCAGGAAGAATATAGATAAGAAGAGTATCCAAACTCCATTATGCCTCACGCACTTATAGAGGTTTCGGACAAATGAAGTCAGCCAAAACCGCATCGCAATTCCACACGTAACAAACTTCTATCATCACCCTAGGAAAAGGAATTCTTTTGACCTCTGAAAATGGGAAAAAACAGAATATCAACCATGTAAATCTCTCTCTCTTTCTCTCTCAGGTTATGTGGTTAAGAAATAGTTCATTATTGTCATACATGGGGTGGGTGTTGGTGGAGGGGTACTCAATCAATAATCATCTCTCCTCTATACTTGGTGCAAATCGAGGACTCTTTACAAAGCCTACTTTAACTGCTTTGTTACCCGATCATGAATTACATTAGGTGACTAGAAAATCCTAAATGAAAGCCCTTTTCCGTGAATTTCCTTTTAAATGAAGAACTTTTTAGTCTGTAAAAGAGTAATTCAGAATTTGAATTCAATTTCAAGTTTGCTGAGTGAAACTTTTCATGATTATGGAAAATCGATGAGGAGAATTTGAGTGAATCAGTAAATTTAGTTTTTTGGATAGAATAGTGTCAATCAGTGGAATAAAGCATGATCGAAGCATACGGTAACTCTTTGAAGTAGTAGTTATTTAAAATATTTATTTCATACTTAGTAATAGATATAGGTTTTGGAGGAATGCGATATGCCTGATGTCGCAATAGCCATATAAGCCTCCAGGGCCGATACAGTTCCCGCAGGGCTGATATAGATTTATATCACACCCGTGTACATTAAAAAAAATAGTACATAAATAACACAAAGTTAATCGTTCACATTTTCTGAATTTCAAATTACTGTTACATGTATTTGATATGATAAGCTAGCAGTGATTTTTTATTATTTATAGTTGCACTAGATCGGTGTCGTAATTTGCCACTAAGTATGTAAAAAACATAATAAAACATACCCTTATCCATATCGGCCCTGTAAAGTCGTTCCAGCCACATGCAAGATACACTTAATCTATACAACATTTCGTTTAGCAATGCAATATTTACAGAAGTCCTGTGGGAGATACGTCGTTTTACGACAGATTTTGGCTGAACAACCCGAAATAATGAACGGAAAAAATTAACACACCTTTTAACTTGATTGCTTCTAATCTTTTGTGCATGGTTTTAGAAAAATTATTCATGGACAGAGTTATTTTTCCATTATAATTCTGAATTATCTTCTTAAAAGGGGTACCCCTCATTTCACCTGCATTATTTTACACCTAAGGGTACCTAGAGAAAAGTTTGATCAAAATTGCTCCAGATTCTGAGCATAAGGTTTAGGTAAGCTGTGAACAAAAGCATACAATTTTGTTGACACAATAAAATATAGGTATTTTGCGCTTGATAAATAAATCGGTAAAAACAAACAAAAAACAAACTTGTCAAAAAAAAAAAAAAAAAAAAAAAAAAAAAACTTTAGGTAAAAACAAGAGGCTTTTTGAAAGACAAACGCACTGTGCAAAGTTTCACAACGAGTTCGCGTAAAAGGACATTTGCTACAAACAAACAAACATATGAATGCATGGATTGGTATTATTAATTTTTTGGACTTATTTTGGTTGTAAACGATGCAAATATCGAATGAATAAATTAATTTTAAAAATTGCAAAATTTCTTTCAAATAAGTTCAAAATTCTCACTTTTTGACACGTTATAATTCTTTTTTTTTTTGTTTTGATTTTTGACATTACCTAGAAATCTTTAAAATAAAATTAAAGTTAATGTATCTTAACTTAATAATTTTACTTATATTAATAGAGATTTAACAATTATTTTCATGATTTATGAAACCAAATAAAATGTTTGTATTAAATGACCTTAAGTGTGTCGTATTATCCTTATATAAACATTTGTTTCTCGATTAAAGAACTAACAATGCTGGTTTTGTAGTTAGCTCCTATCTGAGATCGCTGTAACACGAGATCTTTTAAAAGGTTAATTTCCAGATCAAAGGTTCAACATTTAATCAAGTAGCAAGAGTCACAAATCTGAACAGTCGTAAATGAGGACGTTTCTTTTAAAAAATGACCAAAGTACCCTGTACCTGTAAAGGGCACTTCAAAGTGTGTTTTGTGTTAACATTGTATAAGCATTTTGTGTGGATGAACAATAACTTGCATACAACAGAGATGTTGATAAATTTTATGGCTTACTTGATTGAAGGAATGATCTAGGGGTCTTGTTTCAGTGTAAGAATCACTACCACAACTGAAATAAAAATAAAAACAGATGCTTCAGTAGATTACATTGCAAAGTAATACCTTAGGACATATTATCCTTACCTACACTGTAAAAAATGATGTTTAACTTGTGTTTAATTTTTAAACAGTCGTGTTTTACAATTAAACATGGTGGGTTTAAATACAAAACATTAGCGTTTAACATATAAACACGACTATTTAAATTGGTGTTCAATAAGCAGGGTGTTTAATCATCCATCTTAAACACGCAATGTTCATATGCATCAAATCAAAAAATCAAATTAGGTGTTGCTTCTCAGTATTGCTGTGTGCATTTGCCATTTGTACAATTTCTTAATTTATGAAGTAATTCCGTACATACTAGTAGATATTTTTCGACACAGAAAAAAATACGAATAGCCAGGCAATACGTTGACTTTAGATCATACCAAAAGCAATTACAATTAACATAAATTTATGGTAATTTTGTGCTAAAAATTCATGAATTTCATAAACTGTTAAAGGGGAAAGAGACACATATATTATGATGACTTTTATAATTTTATCAATATTTTAATCACCGGTGTTTAACACGCCTGTTCATTTCTTAACCATCTTATATTTATAAATTAAACACATGGTATATATATAGAAATTGCAAATTAAACACCTGTGTTTAATGCGTTATGATAGAAAATGACGCAATTGATTATGTCATAACATGCCATTTGAACGCAGAAGATGCAGAATCACGCATATACTGGCAAAAACACCATATCTAACAAGGAAACAGGAGGTATTTATACATTTCTTTATATAAAATCTGAGAAAAAATTGAATGCTTAATACATTAGAGATTTATACTGCTTTTCATTTATGAAATGCAGGATTGTTAGGCCTATCGTCTGAGTGCAAATGCGGCCATGTGCAGCGGTCGGCATAAAATATTTGTAGTCTTTAAGTATATTGCGATATCTAATTAATTTGCAGGAACGTTCATCTCTTATTGTGAATCCTGAGAAGAATACATGATAAAGGAAAGATGATTTTAAACGAAGATCACACTTAACCTTGAGAGGTGAGTTTAAAGGGCATTTCAAAGAAAAAGGGTCAACCCCCCCCCCCCTTACACACACACACACTCTCACACACACACCCTCACAAACACACAAACATCACTGTTTCCTAGCCTACACTAGTTTTGGGTCTCCCAGTAACATGAAATTTAAGTAAATGTAATCCAATTACCTGCCCTTGATAAAATTTATGCTCCCTATCACGCATTATTATGTTTATTTGCTGACCATACATAACTTAACACATAAGCGTTAACAACAACACTTTTCATTCCCTGCCCGCGCATGTATTCTTTAAGGAGACTTTACATTTTTGGGGAGTGTTGTTTACATGTGATAGAAAATGCCTTGGGTAGCCCCCCTCCCCCTTCTCTTAATTGTTTCTGTTGGGCTGCTCCTGCAGGTACATTAATGTTTAATTTTTTAGTGTATACACTGTTTGTATGCTTATAATGATTTATTTATGTTGCAGATTTTTATTTCAAACTTGTTTCTCAGTATGTATTTAATTATATAATTAAAATTGGCGTAAAGGATAATAAATTATTATTTTTTATCTCAATATATTGTTTTACAGATAATTTTCTGAATTTGCATAGTGAATATTTTTTATCTATCTATTTTTCAGGATATTTCTGATAAGAAGAAGGGATTAGAAATGCTAAGGTTGAAAAAATTTGGAGAATGGAAAACTGGAGATCATCATCCGTGGCAGAAGAACCTGAATTTTACATACAAGCAGAGGAGACTGTTTAACTCGGTTAGAATATTATACGAAATTTAGTGAGTGATACCCCGGCAGCTCTTGTGAAGTTGCAAGAATATTTAATGAATTAGTCGTTTACAGGTAAAAACTGGAAATTTTCTTCATTTGGATAAAACTCTGAATATTAGTAAAGTAAAATTATACCGGTACAACTGGATTTATTAACTGCAATACATACATAATGTATATATCCCGTACCCAGACAATAAATAACATTTTCAGTCTTTGTGCATTATATTTAATTATGAATTTGTTTGTTTTATTAAAAAAAGATATAATGGACGCCCTGTCCCTTTTTTAAAATAAAGTTTCAAAATTTTATTCTTGAAAAATAATATTTCATTTTATTAAGCGATTTTTCTATTTCAACCCCCCCGGCCACCAATTTTATTGAATTTTAGTTCACATGCAGGTTTTACATATTCATGCTAGGTATTTTTTTTTTTTTTTTTTTTTGATAATTCTATCTTTCAACTTGAATTGAATTATATATCTACGTGTGTGTGTTAACAAATGTGTTGATAAATGTTATAATTGTTTATAAAGTTTGAATCTCTAATCTCTATTCAAAATTAAAACATTTATAATGATTTATTAATTAAGCTTTATGTACATGTTCATCATCAAGAACAGTGTGTTTTGTACTGTTTTATGTTTGTTTCAAATAAAAATATTGAAAACTTATAAACACGTTTAAGTGTTTATTTATTTTGTAAATTAAACACGTTGAAGTGTTTAAAAATGACGTATAAACATGTTTAAGTGATTATTATCTGTTGCATCGAATAAACATGTTTAAGTGTTTAAGTGTTTAGGTTGAACGTGTTTATTAATAAAACATGAAATGTTTAAATTTTAAACACGTACGGTGTTTATTTAGTAAACTCCTTGTGTTTATTCAGTGTTTAATCTTTAAACATTTTGTGTTTTTGAAGTGTTTAGTATTTAAACAGAATGAGAAGGAAGTATTTACATATTAAACCTCATGTGTTTAGAATTTAAACATTCTAACGCGTTTATTTCTTAAACACTTCACGAAGTGTTTAAATTTTAAACGTGTTAAAGTGTTTATTATCTGTGGCAAATTGGTGTTTATTTTTAAAACACTTATTTTTTACAGTGTATTCATGTATACGAGTGCAAAAAGATTGTTCAATTGCAGGGAAACTAACACATAGGTGTCATACAAGAAAAAAGAAATTATACATGCCTATAATTAATTCAATAATTAAATGATAAATAAATAATAGGGATGTCAATGAATATTCGAATATTCATTCGATGTGTTAATATCTTTTGACAAATATACATCATCAACAAATATAAGTAAAAATAATGGATTGCTATTTCCCAAAAACTTGTAAAAAATTGCTGAAATTAAAAGAAGAATCTTGAGATCAAAATGCAAATATTATCAAGTTTGAAGTAGAAAATGCTTTTTTCCCTAAATGTGTCTGGCTAATTTATCTAAAGATACAAGTATTAATATTTCATCATAAATCATTTGATGGCTACTGGGGTAGTTTGACCCTCATTTTCAGTGATGCATGTAATTTGTGGTTCCGTATCTTATGGCAGTACTAGTCTAGTTAGGGTATTGATATAGACAGGGCCTAACCAACCTAAGAAATATGTGGCAAAGCAGATGGACTCCATATAGATTTTTTTGGCTGATAAAAATTTTGCTAAACTAAAATTACAGCAAGCGCCAAAATGGTTATTAGAAACTTTTTTAAGTGTTAATTCGCCCATGACTAATAGATTAACAAACAAGGAAGTACATAACAGGGCCTTGATGGGAAAAGATGGAAATGTTTCCTTGACCAATTTGATTTTTTCAAAAAAAGGTCTTTTTTACGACTTCAACAAGAAAAATATGATTTACTTGACTCTTACATACCTTTTCCAAATTTAAAAAAGAAACAAACAAGAAGAATAAATAATAATAATATAAAATTAACAAACAAATAAATAAATAGTAAGAGCTTTGACTATTATATCGACTCATTAAGAAGAAAGCATCGCATGGCAACCAAATAGTTACCCCAATCAATAGTGATGAATCAACCAAATATTTACCCCTACCAATAGTGATGAATCAACCAAATAGATACATTGTACCCCTACCAATAGTGATGAATCAAACAAATAGATACCCCAAACAATAGTGATGAATCAACCTAATAGTTACCCCAAACAAGGATGATGAATCAACCAAATAATTACCCCTACCAATAGTGATGAATCAACCAAATAATTAACCCTACCAATAGTGATGAATCAACCAAATAGTTACCCCAAACAATAGTGATGAATCAACGAAATATTTACCCCTACCAATAGTGATGAATCAACCAAATAGTTACCCCAAACAATAGTAATGAATCAACCAAATATTTAGCACTACCAATAGTGATGAATCAACCAAATAGATACCCCTACCAATAGTGATGAATCAAACAAATAAATACCTACAAACAATAGTGATGAATCAACCAAATATCCCCAACATAGTAATGAATCAACCAAATAGTCACCCTCAAACAATAATGATGAATCAACCAAATAGTTACCCCTACCAATAGTGATGAATCAACCAAATAATTACCCCTTCCAATAGTGATGAATCAACCAAAAAGTTACCCCTACCAATAGTGATGAATCAACCAAATAGATACCCCAAACAATAGTGATGAATCAAACAAATAGAAACCCCCAAACAATAGCGATGAATCAACCAAATAGTTATCCCAAACAATAATGATGAATCAACCAAATAGTTACCCCAAACAATGGTGATGAATCAACCAAATATTTACCCCTACCAATAGTGATGAATCAACCAAATAGTTACCCCAAATATTAGTGATGAATCAACCAAATATTTACCCCTACCAATAGTGATGAATCAACCAAATAGTTACCCCAAACAGCCTGCAGAATGTATTCAAAGTTGTCATTTGAAGCGTTATTTATCATTCGTTTCAGGACATATGATACAAACAACCTTTTTCTTCCAAAAATCATGAAAATAATAGCTAAAGTCATGTTTATTTAAGTAAAATGAATAAGTTTAACCGCATAGATTTTAAATTTTCACTTTTATAGTGATGAAAAGTTGTATGAATTAATCTTATGAAGGTGACAGCAAAAAGGCAGAATTTTGAACATCATAGAAAGTTTACA